CACCTGCCTTCTCCAGTTACTAACCTTGGCCGCCATTCTCAGCGCCACTGCCCTTGGTTCTCCTTGTGGGCTCCCAATAGTTGATGCTATCAGCCTGTCTGTGTCCCCAACTCTTTTGAACCTAATGGGTACTCTCTGTTCCTATGTAGGACCCCATCTAGAATTTTATGATAACCGGGCTAACACTGCCTAGAGAATAACAGTAACCAGGATCCCCAGCAGTGAAGTGGTCTGCCACGGGAGAATGTGAACTTACCAGCAGAGACAGCATTCAAGGTGAAGTTGTGTGGGCACCGGGCAGCCCTCCAAGGCCCAGCTCATGTCACTGGGTGTCTGCTATTGGGGATGTGCCAGAGGAAACCACCCACTGTTCTAGACAAGAAAACCTCTGAGAGTCCATAACTCCCATATGACCATCATGTTCTGAAACGAGATTTCTCACTGACTGATGAACAACACAAGGACATGGCATTCCCTTCCCAATGCCAGTAAGTCCAGAGACACGGACAAGTAAGGCTTCCTGTTTGGATATGATGATTCATCGCCAAAGCGTGCATAACAATAGCAGCAACAAATAATGATTTGTTTCATTATAAGCATCTAAAGAGCATTTTGAGCTTTTCAAAGCACTTTGATGTACATTATTGCATTTGCTCCCTGGGCTTGCATCTCAGGAAGGATGGTGAATGATTAAACGGAGCAAAAGGAACAAAATGATGAATGAAGAAGGTAAATGAATGGGGCACCTCAAGAGAACAGCAGCGAAGAAAGAGAATTAGATTGCTTTCATCAGTACTAAGATGTCCCTTTGATTCTAAACTCCAGGTGCAATCAGGTGGTGCCCACGGGAAGAGGAAGGGGTAGCCTGCTGGTCTCTCCTGCGCCCCAGGCTCACATATGCCACTACCTGCTGTGCCTCCTCCCTTCACACGCAACACATTCTCACCTAAGCTCACTCCCTGGCCCCTCAACCACCTTTTGTGCTTTCCAGCTCAGAAAATGGCTCCACCACGCCTCTCTTCGTCATCCCAACCGGAAGCCTGGGAGCGTCATCTTTGTGTTGCTTCTCTCATCCCCATATTCCCAGATTCCTGGCTGACCGTCTGTCCAGGCTCTGGCTTCACTGGCTGAAAGTCTTGCTTTGAACTCCAGAGTATGGTTTGTGATGCTTCCCTGTGGCCAAACTCTTACTGATGATCTCTACCCTTAAGGGTTGGACTCTGCTGCCAATGCCCCAGGGGTCCACCTGGTCAGTGACCTGTCCGACCTGTAGAACCATGATGCATCCCCACCTGCCCTTGTGAACTGGCCCTCTGGCACCTTCCTGAGCTATACCTGAGCTTATAGCTTCCTGCTGTGAGCCTCGGCCTACCTGTAGCCTGTCCTTACTAGCCAACCTCTGCCACCAGTGCCTAGCACAGAGTTTGGCATATGGAAGGGACTCAGCAAATGTTTGATAAGAAGGACTATTGCTGCAGTGCATGGCAGCCATTCGTTCTCAGCTGGTCTCCATGGTGACCAGTCTCCCTACTACCCAGTCACACCCTCAAGTGGACGCATGCAGAGGAAACTTCATCAAACCATGTACTGGGGAGATCCTTAGGCCAAGGAACTTAGCTCTAAGTACTTAACTGATTTGTGACTTAGTCCTGATGATTTTAAGCCTGCATTTTCCTCCTATCTACCACTCAGAGCTGCCTCAAGAACAAAGCAAATTAATGGGCATGCCACCAAAGTGGCATGTTGGTGTGTCACAGTATATCAGTGGTTCTTAAATGTGGGTGAGCATCAGTATCACTCCAAGGGCTCTTTTAGGCATAGATTTCTGGGCCCCCCCCTCCCAGAATTTCTGAATCATTAAGTCAGGGGTGGGGCCTGAGAATCTGTACTTCTAACAAGTTCCCAGGTGATGCTGATATTGCTGGTCCAGGGACCACACTTTGAGAACCATTGTTCTAGATCATTCGAAGAGCATTGCCCTTTCCATGCCAACTTTGTTTTTCTCCATGAAGTATGTTATTTCAATACTCGACTTTATGTTTATATTTTCCCCTTTTTGCTGTTTTGTTGAAATCTTAACCCAGTCTGTAAATTCCACTGGGCAGAAATTATATCTTCCACACTCTACACTTTTCTTATTTTCTGTCTTGTAAAATAATGAGTACCTTTTCAGTGCGATTATTAATAGAATAGGGAGAGGGGACTCGGACTCCCAACCCAATACACAGCATCCACAAATGGCTATCAATCCTGGAATTCGCTTAAAACTCAATCAAGAAGAAAAGAACATTCTACCACCAGTGGCATTGTGGGAAAGAAGATTACCTTTTTGATGACACATTTTGTAAAATGTGGGTTATTGAAGATTTTAGACACAACTTACTTAAACACCAACATTTAAAAAAATATAAAGCCATAAACAGCATTCAACTCATAATTTTTATAGTGATAGTCAGACAACTGTGTTTCAACATGTAAAATCCATTACACAGCCGTGGCAACAACTTTCAATAGATTATAAATTTTTATTGAGATGACTGTCTTGCGACTGAATTTCAAAATGTATTACATGATCATCAGCAATAAGTCCACAGGGGCTGCTATCGTACTTTGAAAATCATTTATAAAAATCAAAAAGCCCAGGAAACGCTGAGATTTACCCTGTGGAAAGAGGAAGGTCTCATTGGCAGGATCAAATCAATTATTTTTATGGATGGATATTGAGTTGCAAAGCTGAGATAAGGTATTACCTGCTTTAATAACATTTCCTTATGTCCTTTTAAAGCAGTAAGCTTCATAGTCAGGTTTCAATGAGGAATTTTACCAAAGGCCCAGTTTGGAAAATAAGCAAGAAAATGGCAATTCTATTCATCACAGTGGTTCTATAACGCTGAAAGGAATACTCCCAAGCAACAGAAATACTAGCTTTGGGTTACAGACTGGCAAGCCACGCTATGGAAACACTTCAGAATGGTTACAGTCAATTCCTTTCTGACGCTTGTCTTGATGACGTGCTTGGGTTCCATCTCGATTGACATATTAGGCAATGATTTGAGCATAGCACAAATTTCACATTTGCTGGGTGTGATTTTGCACGTAGAAACATGAATGAAGCAGAAACTGCACCCAGCTGACCTGATCCATTTCAGGTCATACACATGTCAGGGATACACACAACACCCCCACCTCAAATATCTACCTGCTCCCTCAGTTCCCCAAGGATGTTACGAGCCACCTCCATCCACAACTGGTGGTCTAACTTCCCACCACTTTCAGACAGCCTCCTGTCACCACTTCATAGTAGCTTACAGTGCAACCTTTCTGATGCTCACTTCCCCAAGCAAATATCAGGACTTATCAAGGCAACACATCCTGTGCACTGCAGTATTTATGCGTATCTTAGCAATTAACATATACAGAATTGTGCCACCATTTTTACGAGGTTCCTTTCATTTTTTATGTGTCACTGATGAAGTATGAGTATTATGCACCACAAGCCCAGTGGTTTTATTGCATAACTTTGCACAGTGCAGTGATTTTTAGGGACACAGATGTCACATTATAGCACAACCAACTATATTTTATTTTGCTTTTTGTTCCATGGCAGTTGCCATGCTGATGGGTCTTTCTCTCCCCACCCAGAAGCTGTCAGTGACTCCTTTTCCCTGGAAACCAGTGGCCCATGCCGCTGCTTCCCTGATTCTCCACCATAACACTGCCAGCTCTAGGTACCACACAGATGGCACATGCCTCTCTGTTTATTCACCAAGGTGTGACTGATGATCACGGGCATTAGCGTCAGGTGCAAATCCTGACTGTGCCACTGGCCCATTCTATGCCTTTAGACAAAGAGTTTTAAAATACTGAGTCTCTATTCATTCATGTACATATGAGATAAAAAAAACTTATATCGAATGGTTACTTAGTGTGAGAGGGGGAAGTGAGATAATGTAAATAATGTGACGTGCAAAAAGGAAATGAACACACTAAGTTCTTTAAATGTCTTGAGTTGCATTCAGTGCTGGAGCATTTCAGAGATAAGTTCAGAGACACACTCTCAGACAATCCCCCTGATTAGCCACACCACAGAATCCCAGAGCCCCCAGGAATACAGCTGGAGCCAAATAGCTCTCCCAGACACAGTCCCGGCCAGCAAACTCTTAAGCAGCATGCAGGAACCTAAGAGACACAGTTGGAGTCAGTCCCCCACCCTCCAAGAACACTGAGCCAGGAGTTCATTCTATAGGGATATAGAATCCAGGGGACCCTTGGAGGGAGAGCCCCAATCCAGACTCATAGGTAGGAGCCAGGAGCCCCCAAGAGATACAGAGTCAAGAGGCTCGTGGTGACTAAGCAGTTCCAGAATCCACTGAGACACTTTCAGAGCAAAGAGGCACCAAGACGTAGTTGGAACCAGGAGCCCCTCCAAGACAGAACTAGAACCAGGAACCCTCAGGAAAATATGCTGTCAAAACAAAGAACTAATTATGGTCACAGGCCCGACCCAGGGATCCTCAGAGACATAGTTAAAATCAGAAAACACCTGAGATATACAACAGGATCCAGAAGCACTCGGAGATGAGTCCAAATGAGACCTTCGGGGACACAGTCAGAGCCAGATGCTCTCAGGGACACAAAGCCAAGCGCCATTAGAGGCATTGTCAACATAGGAAGCCTCAGACAGACCAATGGCATGGGAGCCCTTGGAGAGGGAAAACCAGGACCCACTGGAAATGCTGTCAGAACCAGGAACCTCTTCCCAACACAGCTAGACAGCTAGAGCCAGGCACTCTCCAAACCATAGTCAGAGCCATGAGGTCTGCAGACAAGCCACCAGGACCAGGAGATCCTCGAAGGCTGGACCAAAACCCTGACTGTTTTACTCCACATCAGGACCCACGCTAACATCAAAGGAGTTTAGGAAAGACCGGGCCAGAAAGCCAACATGAGGGCCACTCACAGCAGCTGCCCAGCCTCTTCCAATGGAAGAAGGCGCTTACCTGCACACTTGGTCCTGGTGGTGAGTGGAGGCCCCGGTGGTCCTGTGCCCCCCTCTCCTGGTCTCGTGAGAAGAACCCGTATCTCATACTCCACATCAGGGTCCAGATGCCACAGCTTATAGTTGGGAGAGTCGACAATGTGGGTCTCGGCCCAGGTGCCTGTGGTGGTGCGATATTCCACCTCCTTCAGAATGATGGGGCCATCCCCGATGATGGAGTTGGCATTGGGCTTGATCCATAGGTATGTGGCCCCCACAGCCAGAAGCTCTGGGGGGGCAATGGGTGTGGGGGGCTCTGAAAAACAAACAAGCACAAAGGGATGTAAGACCCCAGTGGTCCACAGGCAGAGTCCGAGTATGTGAGAAAATGGGATGGAATTCCTAACAGAGGCATAAAAAACTAGCCCAGATTCCTTTTTTAACCCCATTCATGTCCTAGTATAATTCTCACATTTTCTTTGTGAGTACCTGACTCGGTATTTCTTCAGTAACTCTAGGTAACACCTACCACATCTCTTTCATTTAAAGAAAGGGAAGAAGGAAGGCAATGGTGAGGAAATGGTTTTTCCAGAACACGGCAAAGGGGAGCGAGTTAATGTTCTGCTTTCTATCCTCAAACGAGAACGTGCCTTTACTGAAGTGGAGTTTGGTTCAAAACCCAGGGGAGTCTGAGGTTTACAAACATTTCTTTTCTAGGAACACATAGATTGTTAGTGCAAGTTCTCCCAAATAGTGATTTCAGGCTAAATAGCAAAAGGATGGTGGCACAGCGAGATTTCAGCTTCTCCCTCAATTCTAGCAGGTTCCTCCAGCAGGGCGAGTGTCACTGGCCACAGCGCCCCCAGTGGGAATCAAGGGTCAAGGGAAAAGTCACGTCCAATTATATTTTGTTACATGTGGCCACCGCTCCTCCATTAAGCTCTGTGTCTTCAGCTGAATAGACCAGGATTTCAAAAAGCATTTATGGTGGCCTCTCTGTGGCAATCCTTAGCCCACTGGCAAAGCTGCAGAAATAAACATTTACTCTACTTCCTATTTGCCAAGAAATCTCACATGCATTACTTTGTGTAACTCTTGGGACATGAGCATCTCTATTTTGATGGATTAAAAAAAAACAACGGAGAACCAAGTGACCAGGTCACCTAACCAAGATCACTGAGCAGGATGGAACCCACAGCTCTCACCTTAGAAGGTTGTTTGCCTCTCGATGCCCATTTTCTCAAAATAGAAGTAGATATATGTGTTATTTTTATTTGTTGCAAAAAATAGCAGGGAACGATAAAGAAAACAAGAGAGTGCATGTCCCCTTCCCTATCACCCAATATAACAACAGCCTTTTGTTATTTCTCTATGTTCCATTCCAATCTCTATGCACACACTAAACCTTTTTCATGGGGTTCCAGTAACACATAGGCCCAATGTAGATTTGTTTTCCCCTCACTTATTACATCCTAAGGGATTCATTTACATACTACATGGATTTTACCATAATTGTCTTTAAGAGCTGCTAAATAATCCATCAGGTAATCACACTAACTATTCTCCAATTGTTGGGCACATGAGTTGGCCCAAGTTTTGCTATGGTAAATAATAGTAATGGTAAATAATGCTGTAATGAACATCTTTGTGCAAACGGCTTCAGTCCTGCTTATCTCGTATGTTCTTAGGACCAACTGCAAGGGGTATGAACAAGTTAATGATTCTTGGAGCAGAATAGGAAGTGGAGGGTGGGGGAGGCATTTGTGCATGGAGTAGAATACAGGTGTGTTCAAGAACTTTTGGAGGGCCTCTGGGCTCTTCAGGTAAATGAGTCAGGTATGAGTTTCCGTCTGGAACTCAGGTGAGAGCTTCCTGATAAAACTCATTCAGTGTTTTCTTTCTAATTAATTACCTAGCAACAAAGGCTCTCCAGAACTAGAATAATTGCCATGAAACAGAGGTGGACAATATTGTTTCAGTGTGACTCGAAGAAAATCTTAAGGGGCACCTTCAGATTGCCTCTATTATAGCCTGCCATTTGGTCAGAGAAGGAAATTAAACAGATTAGTCAAGCTAGATGCTTTTCTTTACAAAGCCATGGAGGTTATTACTCCAGGCCTTGTTATCTCAAAGGTGTTTGCAAATTGATTTTTGGATAATTTGTTCCAGGTAGAGAAGTTAAGTTGGCAGGCAGATCATTTCTGGGTTCATCCTTTGTGCGTTTTAAATATACGGACCCTTTGATCACCATTATCAACTCTCCAGAGTGCTCATCAGTCTCCAGTGAGGCCCCAAGGGTGATATTTTGTAGTTCTGTGATGACTCTGCCCAGTTCCTTAACATGATTATTCACAGACTGACCCTGGACAGAATTAAGAGCAGCTGACTTCAATACTTTGGGGGCTTGAGCAAGTGGCCACATTAAGCTCTCTTCCATAGACTTTCCACCATGGTTTTTGCTCTCCTATTTCAAGCATTCACGGTGAATTGCTGACCACCAGAAAGAGAATAAAGAATTCATCTTTCCAAATGTTTAGCCTCTTTCCACATATTCCTGATGGTCGGTGCAAGTATAGTAACAAGCATCTCCTCGAGAATATAAGGGTCTCCATCTCAAATGACTTACTAGTTCACCTGTTCAGGTGCTGATGAGCCAAGGCAATTATCTCTCCCTCTGAAGTAACCTAGTGTTTCCTGAACCTGGCACCAAGAAGCCATCAGATTATTGATTTGTCTGTTCTTTTCTTTTCTTTTTTTTTTTTGTAATCCATCGATTACAATTGACATTCTTTAGAAGTCACATGTACTAGTGGTTCAAAGAGAGAAGCTGGGATAAAACACAATATAATCCTTTCTGTAGGCATCGCCTTTTCTGAAATGCATAGCAAGACTATGTTTATTGGTGTCAGTTCTCCTTCCTAGAAGAGATGAACTCTTCAGCTAGACAGTGCAAGAAATCTATGAGATCATATAACCCAACTACTAGAGTCATCAGAAAGGAAACTGAGGCCCAGGGAGTGCTCATGACCTATAAAGCTAGGAGGAGGTGGGGGTGGGGTATTAGGACTCAGGGTTGAGGGGGCATTCCTTTTTCCTCTTGTACTTGAGACATTTCAGTAATTAACTAGAAGGATCATTAAAGGAACTTGACAGCAGTAGGCTTTAACTTTTGGGGTTCACATAGGCCCTTAAGAAAATCTGGTGAGAAATTCCAGGCTCTCTTCCCACGATAATGCATATAAGCATGTTCCCTAGAATTTTACACACCATTTCAGGAATTCAAGAACCCTTGAATTCCCATGCATGAACCCCTGCAGAATCTATCTGCAGAATAAAAGAAGGCAGGCCATATGCGTATAATGCCTTCCGTACACTTCTCCGGGACCCTGACCACCCTTTGTTGCAGGAGGTAGAGGCTTGGAGGACAATCGCGTAAGGGAAGCGAACTTGATGTAGGGGTCACAGATCTAGTACTTCCACGTTCCCAGGTTCCCAAACATTTGGGTGAAAATAAACATGCAAAGATTTCCACAGGGCAATGCCAAGTAAACCTCTAGGTTCCCATGACCATGACCCATCCAACACATTCTTGGGTTTAACATCTGGGCTAAAATAGTTAAAGGATAAAGACAGGGCCCTGCCTATGAAATGTTACATCCCAAGTAAACATCTTCCACAGAAGTTGCCTTAAGAGCTTAGGCTGCGCTAACAAAATACCACAGACTGGGTGGCTTAAATAACAGGCATTTATTTTTCACAGTTCTAGAGGCTGGGAGGCCAAGGTCAAAGTGCCAGCCAATTCAGTTCCTGGTGAGAATCCTCTTCTGGGTTTGCAGACTGCCACCTTTTTGCTATATTCTTGCAGGGGGAGAGAAAGAGATCACCGGTCCTTGCTCTTCATGTAAGGGCATTAACCCCATCACAGGGGCTCTGCACATGACCGCATCTACACCTAGCCAACTCCCAAAGCCCCACCACCTAACACCATCACATTGGGGGTTAGAGCTGCAGCATATGAATTTGAGGGAGACACAGACATCCAGTCCTTAGCAGAAGGACTATGCTTTCAAGTCTATTTTTCTCTTCATGAAGCGTTTTGTCTAATTGCTGGGGTCATGAGATGAACAACCTGGCAGACAGAGCCTCCCTATGAAAGAAACCCCAGCTAGGATGTACTCCGTGCTTCTCATGTGCCAGAGTGCCGAGTGTGGAATTTAGTGGTGAAACGAAACACAGGCTATCTGTTCCCGTGGAATCAGAGAGCCAAGCAGCCAATGAAAGCAGCTATGACAAGAAAGTGAAATGAGGGTCATGAAGGGGGTGACAGAATCAGTGATGAGGCCTGTTAAGGGACCTAATCTGGCCTAGAGGTTAAGAAAGCTCTTACAGAGAGAGCTTGAGTGTGATTTGAGGGACCAGAAATTCACATAAGTCTGGGAACAAAGAGACTGTCCTGGGAATTCGCTAGTACTGATTTCCTGAAGTACCACACAGGGCCAGATGGGAAAACAATGAAAACTTTGTGCTCTGCACCCTTGTTCATTCGCTCATTATACGAACCCTGAGTACCTGCTACATGTCACACTCTGTCCCAGACGCGAAGGATACAGCCGTAAGCAAAGCAGACTCAGTCCTGGTTGTCAGGAGCTCACATTCTACCTTTCACCCAAGGACTGAGAATACTGATGTGAGGAGAGAAAGATGGTGACTCCGAAGCGGTCGGGAAAAGGAAACCAGAGGACGAGCCAGGCCTAGTGGGTGCTTATGGACCAACCAACTGACACACATCCATACAGCAGAATACTACACAGCAAGGAAAAGGGAACAAACTGTGGATACACAATGGGGACGGATCTCAAAATAAAATCATGTTATGCAAAACCAGAGAAAGAGAGAATGCCTGATGATTCTAGCTGTAGGAAAAGAACAGGTGACAAAAGTCAGAATTACAGTTACCTATGAGATCAGGTACTGACCAGGAAGAGGCATGAGAGAACTTTCTGGGGTGTTAAAATATACTACATATTGACTTGGATGATAAAATAATAATAATCAGAAAAGTGGTCCCTCTGGTGGGGTGACTGCCTAGAAGGGGGCATGAGAAAATTTTCTGGTATGATAAACATTTCTGTATTTTGAAATGAGTTGTGTAAGACTCATCAGGCTGTGCACTTAAAGTATAGTTATTTTGCTGTATGTAAATGATACCTTTTAAAAAAAGACTAGGGGCCGGCCGAGTGGCTCAGTTGTCTAAGAGTTAGCTTAAGAGCATGAGCTTTGAGCAAAGGGCTGCCAGTTTGATTCCCACATGGGCCA